AGAGAAAGCCTGCGCGCAGCAACGAAGACCCAACACAGCCAAGAATAAATAAATGAATAAATTTATTTTTTTAAAAAGTGACACCTAACTGGTAAGGATATTTTGAGGGCTTTTAGGATAATAATAGTTGCTATTATAATAATAATACTATTATATGATTTAGTATATTAACATAACTATGTTACATTATTATATAATTTAATAATAAGGAAAAATCCTCTGATCGAGCTGCTCCTGGGCACAGCAAATGGGGGAAATTTCCTCTGGCAGGCATGACAGCTTTGGGAGGAAGGGAAGGAAGTAGCTTAAAGGATAAAACACAATTAGTATTAACATATGAAAAATAATTAATGCCCCCAGGGAAACCTTGTCGCCTGTGCTTGCTATTTTGTGACTACACATTGACTACTGCCAGGATGTTTATGCTTTGGGTTTCGCTGGTCAAGGTCATCCTTGATACTGTTTTCAGAGAGATTTCATCTGACACAAATGTTAGGTAGTCCCTAAAAGCTGAAACAGACTTTGACTACCTATTTAAGCACTTATATTGGTTAAAAAAAAAAAACCCACCACGAACTAAGAAGTTAAAGGACAAACTAGGAAAACATACCTACAGTATATGGACAAACAGTGAGGGTCTTTAGTATATAAAGAGCCTATGCCAAATCAATATGAACAAATTAACATCCTCATAGGAAGAAAGGACAATAGGAATATAAATGAGGAATATAAATGACTGATTTTAAAAACCGTAGAAAAAATGTTCAAAGTCATTAACAATAAATGTAAGTTTTTTCAATTTCAATTGGTGTACGTTTTCTGGAAGGCAGTTTGGCACAGAGTATCACAAAAACTTAAAAATGTGTATTCCCTTTTGCCAAATGATTCTACTTTTGGGAATTTACCTTAAGGAAATCATAGCTATATGCATGTGTGTTTATCTTCAAGAATGTTCATTAAAATGTTATTTATGATAAAAATTAAAAAGGCTCTGAGAACATCAGAGAAATGGTTGCATAAATTGTAGACCATCCAGAAAAGGAAATACCAGACAGTTGTTACAAATTATGTTGAAGATGAATACTAAATTACAAAATATTTATAATATATCAAGTAAAAAAAGAAAAAGTTTATAAAATAATATGTAGCATATGATCCCAGTTTGGTTACAAAGCTGTAGGTATTTATGGGGAAAAGATTGAAAGGAAATATATCAAAATGGTAACCTGGCTATATCAGGGGAATTTTTTTTTCATTCTTTATGTGTAATTTGTTGCAGATGTTTTACAATGGACACGCATTGCTCTTCTAATCAGGAAAAATAATCGTAATTTAAATACAAGATGTACATGTTGGTAAGAAGGCTGCATAGTGTGGTTTGCCCTGAGGCTCTGTACACCCTAGGAATGGCCCTGCTGACTAAAATAACATGTTAGGGAGGAGAATTTTCAGGATGTTGCAAAGAATGTTCCAGGCAGAGAGAGGCAGGGAAGCAAGGAGGGCAGCTGGAAGGTTACTGCCCTTTTCCAGGCATGAGGGCAAGTGTCTCATCCAGGACCAGATGTCAAGTCAGTCTCCTCTCCCAGCTTCCCGTTCTTGCCTGTCCTGGATCCAGTTCTGGGGACAAGACTCCAGAAGATGAGGTCAGAGTTGCCCACTAGCCCCAAGCCCCTGTTGTTCTGTTCTAGCTTGGGTTAGGGTAGAAGGAAAAGGGCTACCTAGCAAGCAGTCTGCTCTTCAGAAGTATCCCCTCGCCCTGTCAAAAAGTTGGGGACACTCTTTTTACCCAAAGGTGACTACTGCAACAAAAGTGTTTCCTGGCTTGACTGCACCGAGTGGCTCTTGTCCTCCATCTGCTCTTCTGGTTGGGTTCTAAGCCCTCTTTGACCCCTTTCTTCCTCCACATGCGCTGTGGAGGCTGGAGTGGCATCCCAGGCTAGCATAGTTTCCTCTTTCCATACAAGCAGAACTAATCTTTGGATTCTCCCTGGGGCAGATGTGGCCCCAGAAATGCCTGAGGCTGCCTTGCTGGAGTAGCCAGCGTGGCACAGCCCAAATATGTGAGCTCAGAAACCGAGGCATGTCCTCTGAACCACAGCATACCTGGGAGGCAGGTGCGCGAAGAGTAAGATTGTGCACCTTTAGTGCTCACTTGGATGTGCCTGGGCACCCATGAGCACATCACATTTCCTCTGTCTTTGGCTGGGGGAGTTTCCATATGCTCCTTATCTCTCTCTGACCCTCTCTGAGAAGACTGAGTTGACACAGGGGGCTGGAAGAAGAGCTCTGTGTGTGCTGGGGATTCTTCGGGTAGGCTGGAGAGCCACCCTGGCTTCATGTCACAGGATGGCTTTGTTGGCCATACGCTATAGATTTATTCATGTTCCTTTTAAATCCTGGGATCCCCAAACATCTCAAGTCTCTTATGTTTTTTTTTTCCTTAACAGTGATATTGAGACATAATTCACATACCATGCAATTGACCTAAAGTATACAATTCAGTGGTTTTTAGTTTATTTATACAGTTACACAGTCATCACCAGAATCAATCATATCACCCCACGTCACATCTCTGTACCCAAGAGCATTTCTACCTATTCCTCCCAGCTTCTACCCCAACCCTAGGCAACCCCTAATCTATTCTCTGTCTCTATGGATTTGCCTGTTCTGGACATTTCGTATGAATGGAATCATACAATTTTGTGCTCTTTCACGACTGATTTCTTTCACTTCGCATAATGTTTCCAGGGTTTATCCATGTTGTATTGACAGCACGTATCGGTACTTCATGTGTTTTTGTGGCTGAGTAATATTCCATTGTGTGAATATACCACAGTTTGCTTATCCAGTCATGGATGGGCATGGAGGTTGTTTCCACGTTTCGTATATTATAAAGAACGGGGACTTCCCTGGCAGGCCAGTGGTTAAGACTCTGTGCTTCCGCTGCAGGGGGTGTGGGTTCAATCCCTGGTCGGGGAACTGAGATCCTGCATGCCACAAGGTACAGCCAAAAAACCCAAAAAAACAAAGTGGCTGTGTACCATTTTACATTCCTACCAGTAGTGTAGGAGGGTTCTGATTCCTCTGTATCAGCACCAACGTTTGTTATTATGTGATGTGTTTTTATTATTATGATGATTATTATAACCACCCTAGGGGGTATGAAGCGGTATCTCATTGTAGTTTTAATTTGCATTTCCCTATGATTAATGATATTGAGTATCTTTTCATACGGTTATTGGCCATTTGTATGTCTTCTCTGGAGAAATGTCTATTCAGAAATGTCTATTTGCCCATTTTTTAAAATAAATTTATTTTATTTTATTATTATCATTATTATTTTTTTGGCTGCGTTGGGTCTTGACTGCTGCGCGCAGGCTTTCTCTAGTTGCGGCGAGCGGGGGCTACTCTCCGTTATGGTGCGCCGGCTTCTCATTGCGGTGGCTTCTCTTGTTGCGGAGCACGGGCTCTAGGTGTGCGGGCTTCAGTAGCTGTAGCATGCAGGTTTCAGTAGTTGTGGCGCGTGGGCTTCAGTAGTTGTGTCTCGCGGTTTCTAGAGCGCAGGCTCAGTAGTTGTGGTGCACGGGCTTAGTTGCTCCGCGGCATGTGGGATCTTCCTGGACCAGGGCTCCAACCCATGTCCCCTGCATTGGCAGGCGGATTCTTAACCACTGTGCCACCAGGGAATCCCTATTTGCCCATTTTAAAAATGGTTATATATGGGTTTTTTTTACTGAGCTGTAGGAGTTCTTTATATACTGCAGATACAGATGCCCTATCAGATAGATGATTTGTACACATTTTCTCTCTTCTGTGCCTCTGTTCGTTTTCTTGATGGTGTCTTTGAAGCACATTTTAAATTTTGATGATGCCCCTTCTTCATTTTTAATTGTGGTCAGAACAGGAAGAAATGATGAGGGGCAGGTAAATAAACACATTCAAACCGCCTCCGTTCAGCAACAGCAGATAAGCTTGCGGGCAGCCATCACGTGGTCCATGTTTGATAAAACCCCAAAATGATTCCAGACAAAGGGGGAGGGGAACATATATTAGGTCCATATAAACACCTGAGTTCAGTGAAACAGGCTGGCAGATCCAGGGAGCGATTCTCAATGCCAGGGACCTTGTGGGTGTGGCTGGGAAACCTTCAGCACGCGGTAGGAGCGCCCCTGAGGTTAGTAAGAGCAGCCAGGACTGCCGTTTGAGGACGCACTTTGCCCCGTGTCTGTTTGGATCCATGACCGAGTTGCCATATTATGGCATTTGTATGGAATCACTGGGGGTTTTAGCTTCGCAATCGTGTTGGATGGGCCCAGAACAAGCTGCTGTGAGATGGGAAGAGTGGCCTCACAGGGAAGAGAGCCTGAGCCTCTCTTGCCGTAGCTCTTTCCAGATGGAAGAGGGGAAAGCCCTCCTTGGACCTAGAAATTCAGACGCAGGACTTCCAGGCCAGCCCCCTCGTCTGCCCTGGGGGCTGTAGGATTCTGATTGGCACCTTCCAGAGACCTACTCTTCCCAGAAAGAAAAGCAGCCTTTGCTGACATCTGGTCCTTTTGGGACACTGATATTTTTATTTATAAAATGATCTCATCCTCAAATAGATTCTTACTCCTAACAGGCTTGCTCCCTTTGAGGGTTGCCTCAGGCTCCCAGCTGTGCTTGCTGGCATCTTCTTGTAACCCTGCAAAGGCGGAAGGACCTGGCTTGTGCCGGAGAAGAGAGGAGGGATGCTTGCCAACAGGAAGTCTGCCAGCTCTGTCCTCATGTGCGGAGTCTGAGTTCTGTATTACTCTCCTGCCTTCCTTTATCCACCTCAGCCTGGGAAGAAAACACTTCCAATTAGCTGCGACTACCCCGGACTGATGCCCCCGTGAATTACACAGGGAGGGGAGCGATAAGAAATGGTGCCTGTGGATGCCACGATTCTTTCTTCCCCTCCTCTTTCACCCGTCCACTGTCTGTTCTCTCAGCAGAAGTCTCCCTTGCTTCTTATCTTTCAGCTGCCCAACATGTTTGGTGACCTTCGGTCCACGTTCATTGCCTTGATGATTGGATCCTATGCCTCCTCAGCAGTCACCTTCCCAGGAGTCAAGGTGAGCGTGTGTAGTAGTGTCTGAGCAGAGGCCTCTTTTAAGACTCCTTCAGCGCTCCCAGAAGAGGGAAGTCATTGTGGGTGCTGGGCCCCCCCTTCCCCCAAGCCCCATCTGGGGAGAGGACGCACCTGGGCACCATGGGGGTAAGAAAAGAAACCTGGGGCTTCCCTGGGGGCGCAGTGGTTGAGAGTCCACCTGCCGATGCAGGAGACGCGGGTTCGTGCCCCGATCCGGGAGGATCCCACATGCCGCGGAGCGGCTGGGCCCGTGAGCCATGGCCGCTGAGCCTG